TAAGCGCCATCTGCGCTCGGCCACCTCAAGCCCGGTGAATCTGTAAATGCCTCCTCAAGGCAAACAGTGGCCATTCAGTCACAAAAAAAAATGATTCTTATCTTGATAAATAATGTACTTTGAAATTCAAAATGATTTATAACAGTTCAGTTGACATGTTTAGGTCATAGAATGTGTTCTCGCTGGACGGCCCCACCTAACAGCTTGAACATAAACACATTATGCGACCTCAATTTCATACAAACATACATGATTAAAATTTCTTGTAGTATCCGGAATAAGCTGTGAGTTCGTAGTACTTTTGGAAGCGATGATTCAAAGAGGATGCCATTATTTGACAATGATTAGACAAACATATCTTAGTAACAGAATAAGCGTAGTAAGCGTAAATGCAAGATGCAAAACGACGAAGCAAGATCAAATCTAAGTACTAACTGTACTCAGTATATACTGTCCTGGTATTTATGAAATAATAATGTAATTCTACAATTCAATGCGTACAATCCTTGATCACACCTGCCACAGTTATGCCAATGTGTAATAAACATAGCATACAATACATTCTGTAACAAATTATATGCCACCGTCACACGCATGACCCTAAAGTAACATATTCATATGTACATATGTTAGTATACCCAGTTGCCTATAAAAGCTTTACCGTATCTAATAGGAGACATATCGTTCGCGGCTTTTCAAGCATAACTAAATATGATTAAGGTGAGCAATTATCTTTATTAACATTTCTTAGATTATTTTAGCTTTAGAAATTTCAATTAACATCATCATATCAGTTCAAAAACAACAACTGTTCAACGACTTTAAATTTCTTATTGTCGTATAATTTAGAAAATAATACACTGAGATATGTTGTATGATTATAACAGAGGGAGATAAAGAAATATTCGATTGTAATGAATTTTTTAAACGATTTTTCTTGACTATAACTAAGTAGTTTCTTAGTGTAAGTACACTACCGAAGTACTAAATATAACTTTTTTTATCACAACATTGCATTTAGGTTATAAAGGAAATTCGTCACGCCTTAGCAATAAATGTTGAATAATATGTATAATTATGCACACAATTCAAGATAAAGGCATGTTTATACGTTTTGGACGTTTCATTTGAACAGAATATTTTTGTTTCCATTAGAGATGGAACTAAAAATAATTGAATGGCGTCGTGATCAAGAAATGAAAACTATTCGATGAAATTTTGGTTACATAATCATCGCTTCTTAAACCTTTTTACTATATCACAAATAATGCCTATTAGAACGTTTATTGTTCCCATATCCCTATTTTTATCATCATCACCAGCTCACTATACGTCCCCACCGAGGGGCTCGGAGCCTAAAGTTAGGGTGACTAGGCCATAGTCAAACACGGTGGCCCAGTGCGGGTTGGTTGACTTCACTCATATCTTTGAATTTCTTCGCCGATGCGTGCTGGTTGCATCACGATATTTTCTTTCACCTTCACCGTAAGAACGTCGGGTAGATTATGTGCGTAGGAAAATTAGATAAATCGAAAATCACATTGGTACACGGCGGGATCCGAACCCAAGACCTGTAGATTACAAGTCAAGTGCTTAAACCACTGAGCCACCGACGCTTATTTTATACATTTTTCTATTATGACTATTACATGTTTACAAAATGAAAACATTTTAATTTTAGTTACTGGTTCTGGCGTATGCCGTTGCTGCAGCCCATGCTGGGGGGTTGCTCTCTCCTGTGGGAGTGAACGGTGGCCACTACGGAGCCATTAGCGCGTGGAACCCTTACAGCACCTACCCTGCCAAACCGGCAATAGCCTCACAACAATCTAACATATACCGGTCACCCTTAAACCTTGGCCAGGTACAGAGTTCAGAAAATTAGTACTATTTTAATTTGCTTAAAGACCAAGAATACGAAAAAAGTATTAGTAAACTTCTTTAGCCTAAAATACATCGATTGATTCCTAGAGTAAAATTGGCCTACATGGACCTAATTGGTTCTAATTGAACAATTGCTTGTATTTAAGGTATCAACGTTCTCAAAAGCAGTTGACACTCCATTCTCAAGTGTTCGCAAGTCAGATGTAAGGATCAGCAATCCTGGAGTACCTCTGACACCGGCTTACCAGGGGATCGCGGCTCCTCTCGTGACACACTACGGCGTAGCAGCACCTTTGGCTGCCCCTGTAGCTAAAGTAAGTATTTATTATAACATCCCTGTTGCTGTAACAACGAAAGAAGTACACTCTATACTTATTAGAATATAAATTCGCTGGTCTCGTTAAACAGCTAATTATCTGAACACAGTTTTTCTTTGTCGCGTTCCGGAAATAATGTTAACTATCAATTCATAACTAGGTATATTAATCTCTAACAACATAATTTTGTGTAACACAGGTAGCTGGTGGACTTCTAGGTGTAGCTTATTCCGCCGCTCCAGCAGTTTCCCACATGAGCTACACAAATGGCCTTGGCCTGGCCTACTCCTGGTAAAATGCATCTCAATTAATGTGTAATTATTCTGTATATTGTACTTGTAAGCGCTTTATGATTCCTCTTTATTTTTTACCTGATAGTTGTTAACATTTTACTTTTAAAAATATTATTGTCTCTAATAAAAGTGTTTGTTTTTTCACTTCGCCGTTTTATTACTACATAGTGGTAAAAAATTGTGCTATCTGTGATACTATGAACATGTATGTGTTTTAATTTGCCTTCTTCCGACAGAGATACAGGGCTTAAATCCATCTGATTGCTAAGTACTTTAATTTAGTAAACAGTTTTACTATCTGATTTTTTACTTGTAAGATAAGAATAGAGTCGCTGGTATTATAGTAACCTCCCAAGTTTATCATAGTGCGACAAAATGAATAGGTATAGGTGTCGCTGTTGTCGTTGTTAATGCTCTCAGAAAATCGGTACATTTATTTAAGTTAACAATAAAAATAGGTATATTCAAGTTTAGTCATAGAAATTGACACATGTTTTAATTTCGTGCTTGTTACACGTGCAAAATTATAACAAATATGAAAAGACAATAATCTCTTGGCCTATTGGTATCGGATTTATTTTGGCTGCCTGTACAATGTTTTTTGCCTTAAGGTGAAAATAAAATATTCAATTGTGACAGGTTGTATTGCCAAATGTCAGTGTCATTGAATTTTCAATTGTCAATTCGTGTCGGTGTTGTTTCTCTCTTTCTTATGAACGTGATTTCGTATTTTTGTCCTTGTCTCATTGTAACTATTATATTTGCAAATTATAACAAAATTACTCATCCATGAGAAATATCTAGTTAAAACTAACTTGTCTGAGATGAAAATTAAATTTTTTGTAGAGTCGTGTCAATAAGATACAAGAATAAGATAATTGCCGACGCTTTGTCTAGTCATATGTTTAATCGCGATTCGAGTTGTTTACTTTAAGATATCAAATTGAGTATATAGTGTGTATTTTCGTACGATTTATGAAGCAGTAGATAGTTTTTTTGCAATGTCTGACAGTGGGGATAGTGATATTACTTGGATATTTTACAAGGACCGCCCAGAATGGAGCGATGTTACACCAGTACCAGAAAACGATGGTTCCAAACCAGTTGTTGTAATAGCACATTCTGAGAAATGTAAGTTTATTAATGTGTATTACATGTTTTTGTCTTTTTAGCTTAAAAATCTGTTTTTTTTTTGTAACAAGTTGAAAAACAAGGACTGCTAGGGTAAAGTCCTGTTTCAACAATTTAAGAATTTGTTTTATTTTTTAAACTAAGATTAACTTACGTTTCAAATAAACGGTGCTATTTAAATTTTTTAGAATAAAAATTGATAAAACATGATTTGTTAACCATCTTCTGTTTCTGTAACTTTTAATAAGATTTTGTGTTATTAGGAACTTTGCTATTTTCCTTGGCAGTGTTTTTACAGTTTGATTGATATTTTAATTTTCATGTCTATTATTTGATTCTAGTTGAAGATGTATATGACTATTTCCGAGCTATTTTGCAAACAAATGAAAAGTCTGAACGGGCTCTACAGTTGACTAAAGATGCAGTGGAGTTAAACCCAGCTAATTATACCGTCTGGCAATACAGGTATGTGTTCTTAATTTTAAGTATTGTTACCACATTTTTTCACTTTTATTTTTCTACTAAATGTTATTGCGGCAGAAGTATTTTTTACACCTTACAATTTTTATATTACAGAAGAGATTTGCTTCAAGCATTAGGTAGTGATCTGAGAACTGAACTGGATTATGTTGAAGCAGTTATAAAACAATCACCTAAAAACTATCAAGTGAGTGTAAATTGTAACTATAGCCAGTAATATAAGAATCTTACTTCTTACTAATATTATAAATGCCAAAGTTTAGATGAATGGATGGATGTTTGTTAAAGTTTGTAGCTTAATGGCTGAACCGATCTAGATGAAATTTAGCGTAAACATAGGAAATAATCTGAAAGAACACATAGGCTCTTTACTTTTTTTTTTTTAATACATGTGAAAGCTAGTCTTTTACTATAGCTGTAAAATGTTAAACACAACTCTTTGCATGCATTAGAATTCTATACAATAAAGTATGGGATAGAACCACCTTCAGATTACTTTATAAAACTTATTTGCTCTCACAAGTTTTTTTTTTCAAACATTGGTGTTCCTATTTATGTATTTTATTATGGTTCATAATATTTATTTGGATTGTTATGATTTTCAGGTATGGCATCACCGGCGAGTGCTAGTAGAATGGCTGCAAGATTCAGATTTGGAATTGGATTTAACTCATGATGCATTATTACAAGATCCTAAAAATTATCATGCATGGCAACACAGGCAATGGGCTATTAAGACTTTTGGGTATGTCCTTTTACCATAGACAAACTTTATTGTTGCATGTGTAGAAAAACAAGTAATAAAGACTAGAGTTCATCGGCAAATTTGACCATGCAGTATTGCAAATGAGACCCTATCCGCATGAATCAGCCGTTTTTACACATTTTTTCAATATTACTATGTGTAGATACATGCATACTTGCTGATAGAAGTCATTCTCTTACTGTTTTTGTTAGTTGTTAAAACAACTTCATACTAATATTATAAATGCGGAAGTTCAGATGGATGGATGTTTGTTAGAGTTTGTAGCCTAAACAAATGAAAAGGATTTCATTGAAATTTGACATAGTTATAGAGGATAGTCTGGAAGAACACATATGCTTCTTGCATTTGTTTTTTTTTAATTCCGTGCGGACGGAGTTGCGGGCGAAAGCTAGTTACTAATGAAATTTTTGTGATTACCAAATATATCTCCTTGAACATTTAATTTTAATGTTACAGGTTATTTGAGAAAGAAATGGAGTTTGTTGATAATCTTATCTTGGATGATGTCCGCAACAATTCGGCTTGGAACCAACGCTACTTCGTTATGAACAACCATCTTGGCTGGTCAGATATGAATGTTCAGAAAGAAATTTGTTATACATTGGAAAAGATTAAGTTTGTGAAAAACAATGAAAGTGCATGGAATTACTTACGAGGTGTATTACTGCACGATCCAAAAGGACTGAGCGGTAACACTAATGTCACATTGTTTTGTGAAGAATTGTACTCGGACAAATGCCGTTCACCATACCTACTGGCATTTTTGATAGATGTATGTGATGAAGCAATTAAAAAAGGAGAAATCAACTCTTTGTATAATGCTGAAAGAGCGTTAGACTTTTGTCAGGCATTAGCATCTAAGTATGACAAAATCAGAAGCAAGTATTGGAGTTTCATAGCAGAAAAGTTTCGAAAATATCAATCTAATCAGAATTAATGGATTAAATTATTATGGGGGGAAAGAGTTCTATAATTTATGATATTGTTTTTTGTCATAATAAATAATTTCAATGAGTTTTGTTGTTTGAAGAGCTTAGTTGCATATTATAAATAAAAACTTCATTTGCTTACAAATATATTACCTTTACAGATTTTAGTTACAAACAAATTTTCCTTTTTTTGGTATTACTTGCAATTCTGTGCACATTTAGTTAGTTAGGGTCAGCTTAGTTTTTGTTTAGTTCATTATCTTTAGAAGAACTTTCATCTTGATGTATGAATGTTCCAATATTCATATGAATGTTAGATCGTAGGGCTTGTGCGAATATTCCGCAAGAACAAATATTATCGTCAGTCATGATGTCTAACATCGCCGCATGGTCAATATAACTTGTGCAATTGCATTTATTGCTAGTGCTCATTTTACTGGCCTTTGTGCCAATACTGGTTTTAGACCCTTTTGGTGTAAGATTTGATCTTTTTTGAGTTATTGGAATTGTTGAGCCAGGACAAAACTTGCTTGTACAATTTTTGCAAACATTCAGTGGCTGCAAAATTAATGTTAAGTTTTAGAAAAAAATATATGCATTTTTTTTTGCAAAATGATATTTCTGTTGCACTATTAGTTACCTTGGGTTTTACTTTCGGTGGACTTGTTTTCTTATTTTCTTTGCATTTTTTCATTGTAATAAATCAACGCGTGCTATGGCATGAATAAAAATGTCCGTTGATAGGTAACTGCATGTTGTATTTATTGTATTTAGGCATTATTTTTATTTTGCGTATCCATTGTCATTGTGACTTACTTTGAAAATGTTGTTTATGGTTATGTTTTACCTCTTATGCACATATTTAAAAAACCATAAGTAATTTGCTCTAGATGACATTGTCATTTCTGTTTTGTAATATTTATTATTTACTTCGTTGGAAAAAATACAGCTTATTTGAACAATGCTGATAAATATGTAGTGTCATAAAATTTATTAAATGCATCGCCATGCTACTTTAGAGTAAAGTTCTTTAAAATGCAGTCTCACTAAAACGGTCGATGGGCAAAGATACACACCTCGATAAGGTTCCAGAACCGATAGAGGTTCGTTTACTGAAGCAAAAGTTAGCATGCTTTGCCTGCAAATGCTTAAACTGCGAAAAGTATAGCAGGGATAGTAGATTAAATAAAATTAAAAATGGTGAAAGTACAGGAGTTCAAGTGGATAAAACAATTTCAGACCGGCTTAGTAAGATTACAGCATATAATCGCATGGACGAAAAATCAAAAAAAGTCGATAAGGCAACAGGTAACAGTTTTATAAGTAACCTTTGTAATAACTATATTTGCCCCAGCTGCCACTATATTGTAGAATTTTTGCGTGGACATTTAAATAAAGTTTTTAAAGACGTGGAGACGGAAACGAATCCACTAGTCCGTTGCAACAAGTCAACAGAAAAAACCGTCGATCACTTGGACAAAACTACATCAATGATAAAGTGTGATTTATCATGCCCTAAGAAAAACAAATTGCCTGCTGAACGTAAGGGCGACAAAGTTGTATTTGGAGATTCCAAAAGAGATAGTGCCTCTGATGTAGAAAATATTATAAAAGTTGGTATTGAGAACGAAAAAAAATACAATACGGGAAAATATAAAATAGCTAATATGGAAAAAGGCAATACAGTGTTCATTGATAATCAAAGTTCATCGGATACGGACAGAACGATGTTTTCAAATTCAAAACATACCAGTGTTTCAAAACAATACACGTGTGGAAACTGTGTTTGCGTTGAAAAATTTATTAATGCCATAAGACCGTACGCTTAAATAGATCAAGACAATTTAATATGTTTGAACAAATGCGGACACATGAACATAAATTACATCTAACTTTAAATTTTCGAGGACACTCGTTTTGATTTGTAAAAGAATTACGATGAAACGAATGTAAATCATGTCATCAAATAATGTCATGGTCACATTTTTGTAGATAATAAAGGCCGTACTTAATAAACATGTTTTAGTTCCAATCGTGAACCCATGGGTACAGATTACATAGTAGAGAATATTAATGTGTGAAAGGGCATCAAAGTAAGAAATAATCCAATTAGACGTTTTAAATAAATTATATATTGTATTTTATGTTATTTATGTAGCAGCGTAATGTTTAATAAACCTTGCCGACGGATCCGAAACTTGCACCCATTTAGGCATCCAATAATAGGGCGTAAAGTTATGTTGACCTGAAAATGATTTTTCAAATACATAACGATAGTATTTTGATTCAGCGCTTGTTGGTTGAAGGCCTTTATATTGTTGATCACCTTCGGGTAGCCTCTCCGCAATAATTTCAGATATGGTTGTAAACAACGACTTCTTTACTGATGCTACACCATCGCTAAAAGCTTCTTTGTGTCGCCATAAAATAGAGTCAGGTAACAGTCCGCTTGTCGCGAAACTGTTACGCAAAAGATGTTTTTCTACTCCATTCTGTGGTTGTCGTAGTTTCGCTTCGATGTTGAGGTAGTGGTGCGTAAACTGGATGTCCAGGAATGGTACACGAAGCTCTAAACTAAATGCGCTAGTTGTTCTGTCAGCTCTTAGCCCATCGTACAAGTAGATATCAGAGAGCAACCGAATGCTTTCTTCGTGAGCAGCTGTCGTCGTTGGCGCGTCTCTGAAGTAAATATATCCCTGAGCTACCTCATCCGCGCCTTCGCCACTGAACACTACCGTCGTATCCGTGTTCTCCTTGATGTACTTAGACAATAAGTACATAGGGATGCTTGCACGTATTGTTGTGATGTCAAACGTCTCCAAATGATAAATGACATTGTCCAGCACCTGTCTTACATCGTTCTCATCGAACCTAACCTCATGATGTTCAGTCCCGAGGTAATCTGCTACCGTGCGCGCTGCGGCAAGGTCGGGGGAATCACCCATACCTATCGCAAACGTTTGTATTTTGTATGGCAATTTATGCTCCTTAGCAAGTTTTACAACTAAAGCTGTAATTAACGAAGAGTCTAATCCACCACTAAGCAGGCATCCAATTCTTCGATCTGACATAAGCCTTTTCCTACAAGCAGCTTCTAACAATAACGCAGTCTTTTCATATAGACTATTCAATTTTTCTACTTCCTCCGTTGACACATAAGGTACAAAACGGGGAGGTGTTCCTGGAGTAAAATATCTTTCAGTGTAGTCGAGTTTAATTTTTCCATCATCTAATAAACTCCAAACCTCGAAATGGCCGGGCGGGAACTGACCAAGACTTGAACCTGCACTGGCGTTTTGTTTCAAACCCATTAATCCTTTCGCTTCCGAGCAAATTGCCATCAACCCCTTTTTATCGTCATGTAATTTGAAAAGAGGACGAACACCGTATGGATCTCGTGCAATAAAAACTTTACGCGCTTCGCCGTCGATCAGACAAAACGAGAAAACACCGTCCAATTTTGTAACAGTGTCGGAGATTCCAAACTCTTTGTACGTATGAATAATAGCTTCGACATCGCAGTTGGTTTCATAGGGAAAACTATATTGATCACGGAGACGTGTGCAGTTGTATATCTCGCCGTTGCAAATCAAAGTGAGTCGGGGGAAACAATGCAGTCGCATCGGCTGCATGCCATGTAAGCCGTCGACGATGGCAAGACGTTGAAATCCAAGGACTGCTTGTGGCTCGCGGGAATCCTGCTCAAGGCGCCAAGCGTCTGGACCTCGATGCACAATCTCGGCAAAACACTTTATGCACGTTGGAGTTAAGCCGCCGTCCATGCCAAAAGTTCCCCATATACCGCACATTTTGGATGGTTCTGAAAACATTTACTGAATCAATTAAACTCATTGCATTTAATTAACTCTAGTACAAAAGTAGAGCGGTTCTGTGAAATTGTGCTGTTAACTTAACTCTCGTTTCCTATTTGAGTATGTTGATTTTTTTTAATAAAAACAAGTGTGAATTAGAGACGGTTATAAGTCTTGACATATGAGTGAAATATGAGCAGCGTTAAAAGGTTTATGCAGTGGATACGTTGGCTAAGAATTACTACTACCACAGATAATACAATACATATAACGTTGCACATTAAAGCTTCCCAAAAAAATAGAGAGTTGCTAAGTATTTAGAACTACTTTAACTAAATGAGATTTTGTGTATACTGCGTAACAAATAAAAATACCGTGTAACTATCAATAACGCAAGGCTACAGTGGCTAAAACCGTAAACTTTAGTCGGCTATGCAACCGCGCTATTTTCATAGAATTTAAACGTTAAAGAATTGTCATCGAATACAATTATAAAAATAGTGAAATACAAATCTGTCTTGACTTTTTAATTTTTCATTAAACTGACATCTTTGAACTTAATTTAATAAATATGTTTATGACATTATATAGATATTAGATATTAAATACATTTTTAATTTACGTGCGAAATCAATGCTATAATTTAAAATTCGATGTTACTTACCCGGTTGGTGATCCCTCAGTAATGGTGTTCAGGATATTTTATTTATTAAACGAGCAATATTTGCTGAATTTACTAAATTGTAATATACCGAAAGAAAACCGGCAGAGCTGGTGCTGTGCGGCGGATTGTGTTAGTTCCAGTTAGTGTTCGTTGTTACAGATAATAAAACAGCCAACCAATGTCAAGAGAGAATAGCATAGAAATATCAAAGTTGTCGTATGTTTGAGCAAGACAAAAGAGCATACGTGACGTTCCTTTTCATCTAAAAATAAGTGTAATTATAATTAAATATATCTTAATTTTATTTAAACTACCAAAACAGCGAAAAGTTAAAAAAAACTTTACTGTTTTGCCTTCTATAAGGTTTTATATTATTTGCAAATAATAAATAGTTCCTATAAAATAAAGTCAGAAAAGTTAAGTATTTGTGTTATTCTCGTATGTTTGTTGGACATGAAGAGAAACGTTAGTAATTGTGGCGGGATGTACTGTGGTATCATTTATAGTAGCATTGAATGCTTATTTATGTTGACCGGTTGTGAGTAAATTGATGCCTTTTATTGCATCATCATTGGCTATGTGGTTGCCACACAGTCATATTTGCATGTTGTAATTTGTTGACGTTTGATTCATTGCGTCTGAACTGAAGTCCGAAACAATTAACATAATATTATTTCTAACTAGATTCCCACTAATACTGTTTTTTTTAAAGATCTAAATCGTGACTGGATTTAATTTCTATAAATGAATGATCAAGGCCATGGCATCATGTTATAAGTTATTAATGATTTTATTTTAAATGTTTTACCATGAACTTACTAGCCCAACTCAATCTTGATCTTGACTATAAATATATGAAATACACTTACGCTTTCAACATACTATTTTTTTTATTTATTTTCCTTTTTCATTTAAGTTATTCGACAAACTTAAAGATGAAATTTTATGCAGCTTTTTACATAAATGTTTCTAGATATCAATTGGCGAATTCATGAAATTCTGCATCTTGCAGTCACGGGGCATGGAAGAAAAATGATTTTTCAACACTTGTTACTTGTTAGATCGCGAGAACTGGAAGTATATGAATTAATAGAAGTACCTACAATTTAAAAATAGCAATTAAATGTTTGCGTCTATTTGCTCCATGAATCAGAAGTAACAAAGATATCTCAATAATAAAATGATATCAAAAACATTGGCGGATGGTCTTGTATTTGTATAATTAATTTGATTGCATTTAGATAACTAGTAACATATTACTTTACCACTCAAGAACACATAATTTTTGTTTAAGTATAAAAACTTATCAGCTTACAAATAATAAATGGCCAGTATTTTAAATGTCAATAACAGTTCTTACTAGCCAGTATCATAATATAATTATGGTTGATTTCAAAATAATTCTTAACCATTAAAATTAGTCATAATTAATTAATTCGAAATAATTTGAAATTAACATTAAAATAAAGTAATACATTTTTTAAACAATTTAGAGTGGGTAATTTTAACATGTGTTAAAACTTCGCTAATCTTTGCAATCTGTGTTAATTGCTCTCACGAAAAAAAGAAAAACAAATGACGCACAAATTAGAAGAATAGTTATTTTTTCATTGTTGTTTGCATTGTTTTATAAGAAAACTAAATTTTCAAAGAAGTGTTCAATAAAGTCAGTAAAATGTCATCCACATCATTGCAACAAGATAATCAAATCAAGATTTGTGTTCTCAAATCTAATTTGGAAGAAATAGGAAAGGAGTTAATTATACAAGTGAGACATTGAACAATAGTACTTTTTAAATTTTAATAATCACTCTTTACGCTGTTTTAACATTTTGTTGGTCCTTACAGAATTCGACAATACCATCACTGGACGAAGACAATGAGAGTAAATATCGTGAAGCTATGGAGGTCGTACAAGTTCTTCGTGCTATCAACATTGAGATCGAGCTTCAGAAAGAAGAAAACTGTATGTATCACAAAAAAATAATTGTATGATTATATCACATTTGTTAGCTTTTCAACTATTTTGATATATTCTTAAAAGTTATTCGTTAATCTGTGTTGTTTAACAATTCTATTTATCTTTAGTTAAAACAATATTGTTAGGAAAATATTAGGAAACGGAAGGAATAGTGGGGTAGTTTTATAAAATACATGGCAAGGAGTGGCTCGGGCGCTTAGTTGCAGTCTCGGTGCTCAGTCGCCAACAAATTCAGTGTTTTACTAGTCGCCGCCACGGAACATTCGACATATTTGCATTGTTGCATTGGAGTTCAGTTTGTTTGTTTTATAGTAATTTACAAGTATTGTTAATATGACCGTCCTTCTATATTTTAAAGAAAGTCATTTGTGTCAAAATATGTAATAATAGTAACATGAATAATGAATAATAGTAAATGAATACATTAAAAAAATACATGAAAAATGCTTGCGAATACAATAATTACGGTTTATTCATTTTACTTTTTACTTATAATATAAATGTGAGAGTTTAGATGGATAAATGGAAGTTTATTAGAGTTTGTTAAACGGAGGAACAGATCTCGATGAAATTGGGCATAGATGTAAATACCTTGAAAGAACACATAGGCTACCTAACTTTTTTTTATTACACGCGTAGTCGCGGGTGAAAGCTTATACATATAATAATATTGACAATTTCATAAATTAATTATTACACATTTCCGATTGCTCTGCAGCAAGATTAACCGCGAAGCGCAGACAACTTCAGATAAACTGCGAAGAGATGACCAAGTCAATTAATAGAGCACTGGAAATCCGCAATGAAAACGAAACTTTATTGCAGCAAATTGAAAATGTAATAGATCAGAAAATGTACGTATTTTTATTATTTTTCTATAACCCATTAGAAAAAAAAATCGAGAAAATACAATTTATGTATTGTTTAGTGACCTAATAATTTACGTAAAATTGACAGACTTAATGTCTCTATATAGATACTAGCTTCTGCCCGTGACTTCGTTCGTGCGGAATTAAAAATAGCATTGTAAGTAGCTTGTGTTCTTCCAGACTGTTCTACATCTGCAAAATTTCATCGAGATCCGTTAAACGTTTTCTGTTTTTGGGACACGTGGTAACTAACAGCCATCCATCCATTTACTCTATCGCCTATACAACGTTCCTAATTTCATTCTATTAAATTTGTTTTTATATGATCTTGTAATTCAATATTTTTGTCTCGCTCAGCCGTTCGTATGAAGCATTGTTACGTGAAATAGCTGATCGTTTTCGGAAAATGTACAACGTTTATGTAAGTCAATTACATTTTTTTTTAATGTAATTAAATACTTCTTGTTTTTGAAATGTTCTTCCCTTAATAGTTATTTTAATAAAGGGTAACTTTAGATGCACTTCCCAGAATCGCAATTACGCTCATCCTGCAAGTATACTTACATCTAAGTTGCGAGTTTAAAAGTTTATTTAAAGTTTAACAGCCTTACAAATGAACGCGGTATAAAGTGAAACTTAGGAATAAACTGAGCAAAATTTGATAGTTTAACTTTATACCGCGCTTATTAGTAAGGCTGTAATTATTTTGTCTTGTCTATACTATTATAATAAAGCGTAAACACACACTTCTTTGTTGCCTAAGATGCCAGCAACTACAGCATATTTTTGAATAATTCTTTTTTTAATAAAAAGCCCTACACTTACGTCACGCTTTAGGCTATATATTTTCACGCCATTAAACTTAGGGGGTAAATATTTTGGATAAAAACCCTAACGCGAGAAAGAGAAAATAAGTTGCTGCCAACATCAAGGAAACAAAATTGCCATACTTTGTCGTCATGTCATTTTGACATTTGCAATTGAATTTGACAAATGTAATCAGTAAAACCATAATTTCATACGAATGAAGTCGCAAGGGAACAGCTAGTTTCCTACATAATTTATTACCTTTATGCTTGTTACACACTTGTCTAATACAGTTGGACAGTTGTACCCAGTCGTACATTGTATGGACTTACTGGTACCTATTACACCATGCCAGTAGACAGTTTATTAAGTTACTGATTAAATATACTGGTTAAATGCGACCGATATGAGAAATTGTAATGTACTTAAATGCAACTTAAGTTATGTATGTGTACCTTTAGAATGAAACAGAAATGAAAAAACAGTTAGAGATGATTGATGACGACTTAAATAAGAATAAAGCAGAAGAAAGCAAGATGTACATTTTAGTGAAGGAGTTAGAGATGGAATTGTCCTCTATAGTACCGGATTTGCCTAATAACATTCTGGATATATTGTAAGTGACCTAATTTTAGTTTTTAGTTTCGTCTAATAGTGTAAATATTTGTTTTTACTCTAGTGAATCCGAAGTAGAAAACTGTTTTTACAATTCCCCTTTGGCCCATAAAGCCTGTTATATCCGAGTATTATCTATCTCTGTACTCTAAACTAATATAACAAAGTGTGAACACACACTTCTTGGTTAAGGATGTCAACAATCGTAGTATATTTTTATATATTACTTTTTTAATAAAAAGCCCTACCCTTACGATACGTTTTAGTCTATACATATATTTTCATGCTTTTAAACTTAAGGGTAAATAAATTGTAAAAAACTGTCAAGCGGGAAAGGGACAAAAACTACAATGCAGCCAATAGCAGCAAAGAAACAAGGTTGCCATGGTTACTCATAAATAATTGAAGCATTTAAATTTTGACATTTGCTATTGAAAGTTTTCGGAAATCTAAATAATGAAATACAGTTTTTGTAATGTAGTGCGAATGACGCCGCACGGGAACAGCTAGTCAGTTATAACTTAACAGTTAGTGTCCCAGTCAATTGAATTGTACACGAAGTTTTAACTGTCCAGTTTACATTCCACCTATTCAAATAATTCGTTAGTAAATAGCGAAGACAACGAGGAATACAATAATTAATAATTTTATTTGCTTTAGAATAACTGAATGCAATAAGCATTCTTTCTTTTAAGGGTGTAAATATCCCTTGTGTTTATTATCGTCGTCGTAAAAGGTTTTACGAGAACTGTATACGACCGAATAACTATCGAAGAAATAAAATAATAATGTGTTGTTCAATACAAAAAGATTTTTAATGACATATTTTAGACGTAAAACGGAAATATTGTGCTTTTCAATACCAAAAAGATTTTTAATGACATATTTTTAGGCGTAAAACGGCATTGGAAGATAAATTGAAGACACTGATAGAAAAATGCAAAGAAAAACGAGATATACTTGATCATCTTCAGAAGAAACAGAAATATGGCTTCGATTTTAAGATTTAATAACTAAATGCTTTTTATTTATAATAATTAATTAAAATAATATTCTGTTTTGATTATCGTTTTATAAGATTATCTCAATTCTGGTATATTTACTTTAAATACAATTAAAAAGTTTCATATTGAATTATTAAGTTACGTAAATTGAGTATACCATTATTAGAGAAACATCTAATAAAATTAAAAAAAATGTTTATGATACTTCGATCAAAGTTGTAATAAATTTTGGAGAGAAAACGTAGGTAAGATATTATATTATAAAATTGTTTCTGGTCCGAAAGAGATTTAATAAATATCATCCTATGTAACTAAGTTAAGTACAAGTAGTCAGCATTCAAGTTATTTAATATTCATTATACTATTAAATGTCCTTGGAAAAATTAACCCAAAAACTAGTAAAGAATTCTCTTCAATAGAAACTTTCCGAATATAATAACGCAATTGGAATTAAACGTTGATATAGCTTGTGGATCTTTGCCAGACTCTAAATAGTTTAGAGACAATTTGTAAGGAGAACACGTTCATAACAATGTTTTAATGCCGATATAAAACTAGAAAACATTCCAGAACATTTAAATTCTAACTAGATAATTTTATTTCATGAAATATTGTCCCTACTCATATAACTTAAAACAAGGCAAAAGATAGGGATCTACGGTGATAATAAAATATCTTTCAATCCATATTATTTTTATATCTTTACAAAAAACTTTACACTTTTAATGCTTAAGGGTAGTATGAGGATTCTTGTGTTTGGTGCGTCTATTTTGTAATGCTTGTTGCACCGCGCCGATGGCTGTCGCACCTTGGAAAAATGTACTCTGTAACAAGAATGCGACAGTCATAAAAAACATTCCAGCCATTCAGAAGATTATTTGGATCAAACGCGGCCATACGGACACAAAAGCATTTAAAAAAATATTTTTCGTTGTCAGCAACATAACACAAGGTGTAAAAACAAAAAAAAAATGTAAAAAAATTATAAAAAAAAAATAAAAAAAATGTGCAAGTGTGGATATACATATGTATGTATTTATATATCCACATTTAAAAAAAAAAAACGATGGTCGTTAATAGGTATCAAGGTTGCTGCTTCAGCAAAGGCAGCAGGTGCTACTAGGGCCCCCTCGGGGAATAAAAAAAAACACAAGGTGTAAGTCTTCTTTTTTTACGATTTTTTTCAATAAGGACCCTTCAATTTTATTATTATTAAGATGTGTAGGTTTTATTTACCCGAGAGTGTTTTCAATAAGTTGATTTTAAACCAATACCTACCAAACCATTTCTTATCTTATGTGACCAGGGTTTATGCGTGGTTGTTGAAACTAAGGTGGGTTTAGCTGGTATATCACAGAATACTGTAGACATTTGAGAGCAAATACCAATAACCACAAGTAACAAAGCAATATTCATGGTGACTCGCCTTTTAGTAAATTCACGAGTCTTATTCAACAAGCTTTTATAGACGTGTGGACAAAGTGATTCAAATATATCATAGAGGAGGCATAGATGACACTGCACTTGAAACATTTTTACATAAATCACAAACACTACCTATTAATAAATCCTTAAAACCACATATCAAATCATAATTAATTGTATTTAAATTAATTGTCAATAGATATCATCAAACAAGATTTAAATGTTTATATTTTATTTTGTAGGACTTTTTGGTTTATTTTATAACAAAAGATGAAGCTTACTATAAATTTTTATTACATATTAATTACAAGCGCCCGAAATGGCGCGTACTAAACTTGACAAATTACCGGTAAAAAAATTTTGCTCACTAGCCTCGTCTTTACATTACTTAAATGTCTGCGTGTGGAGGAAAAATTACATTACACTGAATCGCGTGGTGGGATTTCGCAACTCTCTTGATCCCAATTGTCTTTGTATTTACCCGGCACGTGGTGTAAATTTGTAATCGATGTCATCTTTATTTAATAAAATACTCCATGCCTTGAATAAGTATCTTAAACATTTACTAATAAAAAATATTTCTTATGTAACGAGTAATTGATAATAAGTACTGCATATATGTAATTATGAACGTTTTCAGCTACTACATTTCTAAAAATAATAATTAACTTTATGTTAAGTAATACAGTTTTAAATACTAATCAAATAAGTTAAAACAGGGCCCTTAAAATTGTCTTTTGAATTGAATGAACCACATTAAAGACTACAAGCAAACGCATTTAGAGCCTTAATACGCTAATGTAAAGAGGTTTTTTCATTTTTTTCTAACAATAACTTAATTATCTTTCACATTTTTCATCGAGTGTTTATTAATTATTTTGGTGGAAAAGCTTTTATCATAAATAAAACCCAAATATTGACTAATTGGGTGACATTCAATTAACTCAAATTAACGTGTTACTTGTTTTTATAAAACATATAACATAAGCAGAATTTAACAGTGGTAGAGCGCGTTTCAACATCTTCGCTCTGCAGGCCCGGCTCGCCCGGTGCAATACCACGACCACTCAGAAAACAGGCGTGAGCTGGGAACAATTCCGCGTACAGTCTGATGGGTGTGGCACCGGAGGCCGAATTTTACTTCATTTCCATTTCTACCCTTTTCTTATAAGGAAAGGATGGGAAGGGTATGTAGATTCGAAGTAAAAGAACACGCATAGGAAGGGATATTCTGTTTATGTGCGTCTCGTCCTTCATCTGTAAGGGTGGGCAACGCAACTGCAATTGCGGATACCTTTGGGAAGCGGTCGCTTCTCCATTTTAGTAAATTCAGGTGGCCACTTGGTCGTTTGCCATACTGTGATATATAAAAAAGAAAATAATAAGCATACTAATACTGTAAATGTGAAAGTTTCAGAAAGTGGCAGGATCTGCATCAAATTTGGCAGAAATGTAGAGCATAGGCTGCAACAACATAAAGGCTTAAGTTCTTTTTTTAATTCCACGCACAAAGAGTTATTAGAGTTAGTTAGGCGACAGCGAATAGATACATAATAGCGTGTGCCTATAGAAAAAATATAGCGATGGTTGGTCTATGTTCGCTAAAGAGAAAATTATGTAAATAATGTAGGCAAACGTCACGTAAGTAAACGCAGCGGTTTGCCTGTTAATGGCCCCGTGGAATTTTATTATGGTTACACTCCGCTGATTTACACATTTTAGCAACGTTTGATAAAAAATGTATTGTCATTTATTTTTATGTGTTTATTCGACTTTTTTATGCGAACTACAAACATACCGCTTGTTTTACTAAGAATAGATTCAAATTCAATTCTTGAATAAAAAGTACTTTGTGCCTTTTAAGGATATTGCCCACGAGGATGAACTTAATATTTGATATACTTAAATTACTGTGCACAAGTCCATAAAAGTATAATATTTTTAATTGAAAAAGAAAAAGCTTAACTATCTCAATACTTATATTTAGATTTGTTTTATGAGTGATAATACGTTTCTTCGTTAATTCATCTACATTATCAACATTACCAGCTCTGGAGGTAATCAGCAATCGCTAAGAGGCTCAAAGCCAAAGCCTACTCTAATAAAGGGTTACGACCACAGTCAACCATTAAAATCATTGCAACTTCTAAATTGGTATGTATTACGTAGTAGTAATAGTACTAAAATGTGTCCTATCTAGTTAATATCGTTTTTAGTTAAATATAATAAAATATAAAAGTAAAAATTGATTTGTAGATACATAAAAATTCAATATAATGCCGCACTTAAAGTTACGAGAAGTGACGATGTCCAAATCAACATTATTTCGGACTTAGCTGTTATATCCAAGTTAGAAATTGAACAAAGTAAATGTTTGGTGATAACACAAAGTGATATTTCAAACATAACCAAAGTTATTGTAGTTGATACTCGTAAATCTCCTTTCTCGAGTGGCATGGATGACGTTGGGTTTAGCCACATGACATACATAAATAACTTTCACAAAGTTGGTTAATTATTAGAAGTAATATCCTTGACTTTTCCAATATTGTTTTTTGTTTAATTAAAATTCTGATTAATAATATCAATGTGAAAATATGGATGGATGGATAGATGTTTGTGAGAGCTTGTAGTCTAAATTAATGAACGGTTCTCGATGAAATTTGGCACAGATTTCGTACATAGTATGGAGGAACACAGTTTATTTACTAAGGTTTTTTAATTTCGCTCGAACGGAGTCAAAATACAATTTATTTGTAAGAAATTTACAGAATCAGAAAGAAGTACGCAACAAGTTACGTTTAAGCAAAATACAGTTTGTTTATTATTTTTTTGCTTCTCACTTAATTGTATTTCTTTCACGGTCCGTCCCCAGCCAACGCCCTAAAGCAATCCAAGGCCTATTTTCTGAAAACAAAGTATTTTATAGTTATTCTTTTAAAATACAGCTAACTTACAATGCAATAACAATGTAACTTATTAATTTTTATTACTGATGGTAGAACTTTAATTATTATATTAATACTAGCGATCCACTCCAGCTTCGCCTGGGTGGTCCGATTTCCTTTTATGTAAAATATAGGCTATGTTACGCATTGACAATTTAGCTTTCTTATGGCAAAATATTTTTTGAAATCAGTCCATTAGTTTCTGAACCTATGTAATACAAGCAAACAACCACATCCTTTAATACAATCTAATTATAATTCTTATAACATTTACATAGATTTATATGTTAACTGAAGTAGGATTAGTTTGCCAAAATCTACGTAGTGGTTTACCGACAACACGGCCTCAATTAAAATAGTCATTACATTCGCCATAGATATAATCTTTTTTTTTTAAAAAAAAAACGTGCAACCCTATACCTCTTGTTTTAACTTTTATTTTAAACATAGCAATAAAACGATGCGTAGACTATGCGACAAATAGTTTAATTCCATTACAAGTTTTCTTAAGACTATTGATTTTTACCTTATTCCTGGCGATTAAATCCAAAACGTTAACTACAACAAACAAAAGCCGTTTTCAGATTAACGTTTATATTTATGAAAAAACTGTTACAACGGCGGCTATATGGGTATTTATGTACCATTGTTATATCTTACTTCTTACTATCTTACTAATATTATAAATGCGAAAGTTTAGGTGGATGGATGTTTGTTAGCGTTTGTAGCCTAAACGGCTGAACGGATCTCCATGAAATTTGGCACAGGTTTAGAGCATAGTCTGGAAGAAGACATAGGCTACTTTTTATCCCGGGAATAGTTACAGTTCCCGTGAGATTCATTAATTTCGTTTTTTAATGTTCACTCGATCATTCTGCAACGGTTCATCATATCTTATTGAAATTTGGCACAGATATAAAACAAAGTCTGAATTACACATGAGATTAGCTTCATCCCAGAGAAATGTCCGGTTCCCGAGGGATACGTAGCTTTTTGTATTTATATAGTTCGTATGTTTTCTAATACCACGCGGACGAAGTCGCGGGCAACAGCTCGTTGTTACATAAAAGTTGGCAATAATAGAAATTTTCCTATTCTACTAAATCAATCGGGTGTAAATGTTTGAGTTATACTAGTACTAAAGGTAAATGTGATTTAGTTTGATACGCGTATTAAATCTTGTCAACGATTTTTATCTATATATCTATACTTCTATCTATCTATACTATTATAATAAAGCGTAAACACACACTACTTTGTGGCGTAGGATGTCAACAATCACAGCATATTTTTGAATAATTATTTCTTTAATGAAAAGCTCTACACTTACTAGGCTATATATTTTCACGCTATTAAACTCGGGGGGTTAGTAAATTGGAAAAAAACCTTCATGTGGGAAAGGGACTGTAGACTACAAGCTGCCAACAATAAGGGAGCGAGGTTATTATGGTCACGGTAATTTTAACATTTGCAATTCAGAATTTGACAAATTCACAATAAAATATTTTTTTCATAACTTCATGCGGATAAATCCGCACGGGAACAGCTAGTATTTTATACAAAAATATTTTTAATTTAATTTAAATTTTCCCGGACCTAACCGAAATGGAATGTAGGATTTTAAGCCTGTAATATCAGAAAATTCTGGAACGTTTGATTAATATAATTTACGATAATTAAAGATAGCATTTTATAGAATTCTGTGGAGGTTTGATGTTAAAGGCATTCATCAGGCTATGTGAACATAATAAACTAATTCAACCGTTTTTTATTGGCAATGACTATGGGTCTAAAGATACTTTGCATTAACGATGATACCTCTAAGAAAACTGATAGCTTACAATAATAAAAAGGTAAAAGTCAAACATAAGGAGCAATTCGATTTTGTTTTAAGTATATTTATTAAGTAACTGATGAAAATTATGACATAATAACAATATTTATATAGCTTGTAAACATTGTTACTATGTGTATAAATTGTATTACATAAATGTATAAGATTGAGGGATTGTAATACAATTCTGTGACATAAGTGAGTTGAATAAGGATCTAGTTTCGTCTGTTTTTGACGTGGCTGTAGACCTCGTGCGCCGTACCCGCCGCGGAGAGAACGCCGAAACCTTTCCTCTGCAAAACAAACAATTTCACTTACACATCGTATAACAAACAATATTACGTCCCCTTTTCACTCGTTACAAAAAATCTTTATTTATTGTCTGTTTACACTGATGATAAATGAAATTAAAATAAGAAATTGATTTAAACGAATCCGAACTGAATGTGTCATTTTATTGCGAAGATCTTGTTGCCAACATCCAGACCCTCATCAGATCACCACAATAACGTATGACGTGACAATGTTATCAATATTGCATTGTCATGCTATTTAGATATGTATGCCATATTTCAGCTCTATCGGTGACCAGGAAGTAGATCAAATTTAATTTGCAAGATTTTAATGGGTAACATCAGGACAAATATAACTAAACCAACAATAAAATCAGCATTTAGATAGCAAATTTTATAAATTTAATCCATAACAAAAAGTAAACTGTTGTTCTGAACGTGTAATATACTAAATTAAAATAAATTAACGTTAAGATAAAAAAAAAACTGTCTAACTTACAATAACGTTTCCACCCTTTTTGATAGCGCCGACGTTAAGTTTAGGCGCTGCGGTACTGCTTCCCACGAAGAGCGCAAGCACAGTCAGGAACATAAACAAGAAAGCTGATAGTTTCATGTTTGCTTGATTATTAGTACAGTACTTAAAATGTAGGCTAGCTAATGGCAGGCTGTACCACGGTTGTGACGGCAATGCTTCGAGCTTCACCATAGCGCGTATATAAAGGCCTCCAGTAGTGGCAGTTTTCCTCCTGGGTATATCCCAAATGTTGTCGAAAAACCAACGTGGAAAGCCTTAAATCCCAGTTGTATTATAAAACTAATTTGGTATTCTCACCTATGCTTCATAGAATTAGAACCACTATGTTTATTTTATTGAATTTATAAGTAAAATGTCATTTAAATAAGTGAGCACGTTTAAAAGTAGGGTTTTATTGAGTTAGAGATATTAATATCAACGAAAATGTATTGTTATAATAAAGAAATGCCTTACTAAATTTAAATAAACAGATAACTTTATGTTAATAAGTAGGTAAAGAATTCTTTACCACCGAATGCTGGAGAGAATCAAACATAATGTTTTTACAATTAAATCTGCCAAGAACTTCTTTCTCCTATAATAACAAACTCAAGTAAAAGTATATCAAATATTCTGAAACTTCTATTACAATACCATTTGTTAAAAAATTATTAAAAGTAAAATAAACAATTCTACAATCTGAATAAGGGGATGTTGTATTCATATAATTTCAAAATAAATGATTAGCCGTGTATAAAATGCATATTAATTTAGGTTTCCTAAGTGAATAGTAAATTCTCGAAATAAATACAAAATGGGCATATTTATGACATTTTTGGAATTTTACCATAACAAGGTTTTACCTGTAAATCGTAGGATTCAATTGAGTTTATGCATTTACAGTAATATTTATTTACTTATGCTAAGAATTAAATAAAATAATGTAGTTTAAATTTTTTAATAACTAATGATGCTTGTGACGAATATGATCGTAGATATTGTGAACTTTGGTGCCCAGGTCTGCGATCCGGATACCTTTGGCCTGCGAGAGATAACATTTTATTTAATGTATTCACAATCTATAGAAACATAAATTACAAAAATATAGATCAAAACAGCTTCTAACATAATGGGCAAAAATTTTAATCAACTTAAACCCGGTGAGAAAGGCGTATCGGAGAACAGAATAATTGGCAATGTAAGAGCAAAAATCATGTGTTCGTTTAAAATTTCAAACACGTAGATTTACAATCCGGAAACCCTTTAGTATTCAAGCCACTTAGTAGTGGGATTTTACAGAGTCACAACAGAAGCGTTGACCAACCTATTAGAAAGAAATGTAAAAATGAATTTAAATTTGTTATCCTGCCTTCAATTTCTCACCCTTTTCCATAAAAATGAACTCAATTATCTTATAAGCAAGATTGATCATTTACTCACAATCCATTGCCCTCCTTTTTTAATGGCTCCAATCGGTATACCAGGTTTTGCGTTACATCTTCCCATAAATATAGCGAGTATTCCAAATAATAATACAAACATTTTTGTAAAATCCATTTTAGTTAACACTTGTCTCAAATATTTAAATCTGCGTTAAAGTCAAGTTGATTTCTATTTATATGTGCGCGTTAATTGTTTGTTTTCACACGATTTTTCTTCGAAACGGAACGGGGACTCTACCTCGTCCCGTGCGGACCGTGTCATATGTACCGATATACCACGATTCTCTTATACCACATTCACTTTGAGCTTGTATTTAATTTCATGCACATTTAATATAAAATTGGAAGTCGATATCAATTACATTCTTGTGTTATTAGTTTTCATTTTAAAGAAACGTACACATATCGACGAATTTAGTACAATTGTAAAAAATATTTTGACTATGTTTATAAACATTTTAATCAATTCAAATTAACAATATTAAAAACAATCTCAGTTATCATTGAACTAGATATGACAACTAGTAATAATCGTATAAATAAACTAGCTTTCGCCCGCGACTCCGCCCGCGTGGAATTAATAAAAAACAAAAGCAAGTACTCTATGTGTTCTTCCAAAATATCCTCTACATATCAAATTTCGTAGAAATCCGTCTAGCCATTTAGACTACAAACTTTACATCCATCCATTATTATTATGATAACATTAGAAACATCAATTAATCGCAATAATGATAATGAGATCTATATAATCCTAGAAATATTTACTTCTAAAATCTTAAATTTAGATACTAAAGCCAGATGACAAGGTATTATGTTCTAGTGTTGAATTTTATGTCTTGTCTCGTTTATTTACAAACAGAACTATATTCGTCGACGTTAATTGTTCATAATTTTATTAACACTCCGTGTTTTGAACTTCTAAAATTATGATGTCGGGCAAAGACAGACTTACTCGTATTTGTTATTTACTAAATTATTATTCTCTTTCTTTGTTAAGTATTTACTGTACAAACTACGATGTCTGAATTACAAAAGTAATTTTTCATTCTTATTTTTAGATTTTTTATTGATTAATGAAACATAAAAGCAAAATAGAATTAGTTAAATATTCCTTCAGTTCAATATCGCGACATTTTACAAAGTGGGAATTTAAATTAACTATGTTTAATTTTACGTTGATGTACAATAAAATTCCAATCCTCTCGAGCATGCTCGAATCGGAATACCAAACGTGCAATGAATAGAAATCTAACTGGTGTCCCCTCGGGGCCTTTGAGCCTGGCTACTGTATGGAGCGTCCAGCTAAGAACACTGAGCCTATAAATCGGTTTATTTAAAGACATGTATTTTCCAAAAGTGTGTTAAAGCTCGGTTACTTTTAAAAGTTTGAAAGAAGCGCTAATCGTGGAGAAATTGAGAAGCAAAGGTTAGTGTAGTATGGACATGTTATACGACGAGACAATGGGGACACGAACCAGAAATAGTTAAGATTGAATGTGGATGGCTACAAAGGTAGAGGAAGATCGAATAAAGTATGTGTGAAAGACGCAATGCTTAAGAAGGGAGAGGATTCAGATATGATGGCTGATAAAAAAACAAAACCGACTTCCAAACAAAATACACGAAAAACAAAACAAAATGCACTAAAAACAAAACAAAATACACCAAAAACAAAA